ATCAATACGGTTCTAATTTAACTGTAAACATACAGTTTCGTCAGCTAAACTATTTGCAGTCGCGGCAGTGGATTATTTTATTGGTTCCATCAACTCGAAAAACATGAGATATTAACGAGTTTGAATCATGTTATGAGCCGAACATGATTTAGAGGTCATTCATTGTAAGATTAATCATTACATCATTCGTTACCTTGAGACTGTGACCGTTCGTGAGAGACAGAAAGTCGCTGATCAGTTTCAAGACATTAAATGCTCTTTGCTGAAATGCTCTGCCAAAGAATTTACTTTCGTTAAAAGAATGTATATTTATAATGCAAATAGTCTATACTGACTGACTGACTGAGTTTGGTTTTACGCCGCTTTTAGCACACCAGAAATGGGCTTCACACATTGCACCCATGTGGGGATTCGAACCCGGATCTTCGGCGTGACGAGCCAACGCTTTAACCATTAGGCTACCCCACCGCCCCGCAAATAGTCTATAACCTAAAGCGTGTTGGAAGCGGTAAGTGCATCAGTGGAAGCGGTCAGTGCATTAGTGGAAGCGGTCAGTGCATCAGTGGAAGTGGTCAGTGCATCAGTGGAAGTGGTCAGTGCATCAGTGGAAGCGGTCAGTGCATCAGTGGAAGTGGTCAGTGCATCAGTGGAAGTGGTCAGTGCATCAGTGGAAGTGGTCAGTGCATCAGTGGAAGTGGTCAGTGCATCAGTGGAAGCGGTCAGTGCATCAGTGGAAGCGGTCAGTGCAGTGCATCAGTGGAAGTGGTCAGTGCATCAGTGGAAGTGGTCAGTGCATCAGTGGAAGTGGTCAGTGCATCAGTGGAAGCGGTCAGTGCATCAGTGGAAGCGGTCAGTGCATCAGTGGAAGTGGTCAGTGCATCAGTGGAAGCGGTCAGTGCATCAGTGGAAGTGGTCAGTGCATCAGTGGAAGCGGTCAGTGCATCAGTGGAAGCGGTCAGTGCATCAAGTGCATCAGTGGAAGCGGTCAGTGCATCAGTGGAAGCGGTCAGTGCATCAGTGTAAGCGGTCAGTGCATCAGTGGAAGTGGTCAGTGCATCAGTGGAAGTGGTCAGTGCATCAGTGGAAGTGGTCAGTGCATCAGTGGGCACAGGATTTGTATTCTCAGGGCGAGTATACATTCCAATCTGCCTGTAGGATACAGGCTCAGAAGGACTACCATCTCATTTATCGGGTACCCATCTACTGCTTGTAGAAGAGGGTCATAATTTGAACAAACTCACTTCATGGTGCTTCATGTGCTTCAGTGTGGCATAGACCAAACCCAACAACTCTCAGGAGTCAATTCAAGAGACCGAACGCGAAACCCATCAAAACCTCTCTCTGCGACCAGGCGTAGGGTTCTTGTGAAAGAAAATCCTATCAGCATCGACGGATAATCACACTATCAACCACTATTAAAACCAAGGACCAAGCTCATCATCTGTGACGTTGTGATTAAACAGTTATAGCTGACATCAACGTCAAACTCCCAGACGTACTCTCATTGTGTAAAGAACTCGAAAATGCATATTCTCTGAAAACGTAATATAAACAGGAGAGAAACATATTATTCTCAAGGGAGATGGGAAATTCAAGACTAGAACCAGAGGAAAGTATTACCGGAAGGGCTGAGCGGAAGGGAAAATAACATGGTCCTGGGACTGTGAGACAGACTATCTAACATCAGGATATGAATCAACCCCCCACCCCCTGTCCTGTTGTAATTCCTATTGAAACTGATAACGTCTATTTTCCTTTAGACAACGCTCATAAAATAGGAACTCGCCATTTCGTCTCCAACATGTTTTTCTCAAGAAGAAATCTGTCGAGTTCAATTTTGTATTCCCATTGTTCGTTTGTGAGAACCCAGATTCCGACATTTCCGACAGCGCCACCTATGGGGATCTTCAACAGTCGGGCAATACCGGCAATATAAGTTGGACGTGCCTCAGAAATGTGTCGACTGTGTGCGTCTAAATAGACGGAATTATTACAGAGAAGAATTTTCTCAATAACACAATGAATATTACTTCAGACAATAAATGCAGGAACCTTTCTTTTTCCAGATCTCTGTATTCAAACGCTTTCCCATGACACCAGCATGGATGTAAGGTACTGCAGAGTGAGTGAGTGAGTGAGTTTAGTGTTACGCCGCACTCAGAAATATTCCAGCTATATGGCGGCTGTCTGTAAATAATCGGATCTGGACCAGACAAGCCTGTGATCAACAGCATGAACATCAACCTACGCAGTTGGGATACGATGACATGTGTCATCATCACGGGTTTATGATTGTTGAGATGAGAGAGAGGCTCGTATTAGTAACAACAGCCTCTGCAGTACCAGACCCGTGAAGATCCGGGTTAGAATTGGTCTTCAGCAACCCATGCTTGTCGTAAGAGGCGACTACCGGGATCGGGTGGTCAGGCTCGTTGACACACGTCATCATATATCAGTTGCGAAGATCGATGTTCACGGTGTTGATCACTAGACTGGACGGTCAAGGCTCGGGTATTTGCAGGACGCCGTAAGCAACAAACAAACAAACAAAATGCAACAATTACACCTACTAGATTTGCATAACAATTGTACAATCCGCTCATCATGTGCGTCATAAAATCCATATATTTGTTCAGCCGAGACGACATTAGCTATACAACGTTATGTGGATGTTCGGATGTTCTTTTACATATTATACCTACTATAAAAGTGTGTGTGTGTGTGTGTGTGTGTGTGTGTGTGTGTGTGTGTGTGTGTATTCAGCGTCAACAGTTTATGTTTTGTGTGATGTCTCTAGCTGTAATATACTCTCCTGTGTAAACAACATCAACTCGTTCACTCCTTCGCTAACTCACTCAACGGAAACGTAAAAAAGCTTTATTCATCTCAAAATAACATTTAATCTTTCGAAATGGTTTACTACTGAACAACTTGAAGTTTTAAAAACCTAAACTGTGGGACCAAAGTCGGAGTACATGTAATGTTACATTCAGACCACGTGGGTTAACAACCTGCCTGTTCCAAACTTGCCCGTGGAACGACATGCAATATGCAGAGGCTGAGTGTAATGGAAAGACAAAAAGGGTTGGCATTTCCACGTTAAACCAGAGACAGTGTCACTGATCACAGTAATATAGATGCTAATGTAGACGATGGATGAGCGAGGCTCAATACGCTCTCCAGGAACAGGTAGGGCTGCAGTCTGATAGTCTCTGGATCGTTCTGGGGCTGACAGTTGAGGAACCACCTTACCGTCGAGGTAAATTGAAAAGGTGCCCCAGTGAGATTGGGGATTCAGAACCTGAGATCTAGACTTGCTTCATTCGGAGCTTTAGCAATGCAGGAAGGTCTGGGCAGATGGGAAGATAATGTGGTTCAGGGACAGCCAAATCATACCAGATAGTTTACAGGTTGGTCTGTTAACTTGTCACACATGTCTGCGCTCGACACGTTCACTTCAGACAGATATACCAGTTTCGATAGTGGTCAGCGCGGTGGCCGGTCACGCACAGAGTTCGTCAGGTCTGAGTTCGATACCCTGATATAACGTGTCTGTTCACGCTGTGTATCCTTATTCGGTAAAGGTCAAGTCTCTGTTTGTCTCCCTATTGGGTAAGGGCGTAGCTTTGTGGTACAAGCATTGGCACGTTTAGCCATAGCTTGGGTTCTATAACCTACATGGTACCAAGTGTGGAAGCTATTTCTGGTGTTCTCAGTCTCGATATTGTTGGAATATTGCTCCCTCACTCACTCTATCGTACTCCTACATGCCAGATGCGCTTCATATTAATATCCAAACCACCCTCCCCCAACCAATCCCAATTATCAATTTTAAAGTTTCAATTTTCTCTCTCAATATGCGAATTTAGTTTTTTATTTATGGGCTTCTTCTAAATTATGTTGAGGACGCTTTTTATAGTAATCCATGCACAAACATTTCACCACTCACCAGTGGTATGAAATATATTAAGTTATTTAGGACTTTCTTTGGCAAATTTACTCAAAGCTACTTCTCCGATATTTAGAGATAATCGATCTAATTTTAGAGAACGATTATCAATCTTAATGACCTATATCCATAAGCAGCCCTAGTTATTTTTCAGCAAATGAAATGCAAATTGAAAAATTATGATGTTCGAATAACCGAGGTTCAACACTAAACAAGTTGCCTTGATATACAGCAGTATAAGACTAGTCATATAAGTAATACAAGGTATGTTAGTCTCCCATTCTAACACCTTCATCCGACCATACAGACCATCACATGGGCCATGTTCTCTCCAGCTGTGGGATCTATTCATAGATACTCATTACCTGATAATCAATGACTGAATGATTCACGACTAAAACTCCAAAAAAGCGCCACCGTACTAGCGGCGTTTGTATAAACTTGTAAGTTGTTGTGCACGTTTTAGCAACTTTTCCAAGACAAATCAATACGACACACAGAGCGGAGACACGGCCCCTCACTAAAGATTGAGTTTATGGGTGGAACAAGTCAGTGGAGGGTTTTGTGAATTAATACCGACTCCTTCAGCAGAGACGGGGGAAGGGTTCAGCGGTGGAATAATAGCGTGGCTTGGAGATGAAAGAGCGTTTGTTGACAAGGGATAATCTAACGCTCTCAGGGGACAATTTATGACGTCGCGAGTAGACAAAGTTAAATCGCTTGTGTCTTGCATCATGAATTACAACGATTTCAGTACACGGTAATTCTCTTGAAAATTCCAGTTTTCCCGGAACCGGCGATAAAATTTGCCCATTTAGCATGCCGTCGAAGAGCTTGAAATGAAATTGCTCAAATTTGTTATCCCATCGATGGCAACTTTAGGCGTCAGGGAATGTTGTCATATCGTATTTGAAATGTGTTTTTGAATGATGAGGTTTTGAATGATGAGAGAAGTGTATGTTCAGCATGACAAGTACGTTGTCTTGATCTTAAAGAGAGTACAAGCGGCATAATGGAGATTGTCTTTGCAGTAGAATGAGTGTGTTAACAGCACTTTGAACAGTAATACAAATATATATATATATATCGGAAAACTCGATTGTAGATCGTGTACGTTTAACTCTTTGGCGGAAATCATCAAGCGCGGATATAACACCAACAACCAAGTATTATTATCATGGCAAATCTAGGATTCGAACTCAAGATCACAGTATCTTGCACTCCTAAGGGACGCAACTCTGGACTGTAAAAATAAGCCTTATACAACTTCGCCCCGTGCTCTATGGTATGATGTATGACTTTATACACATTATACAACAATATAAGACTAAATTTGGCTTCCCAAACAGGTAACAACCTGAACCCGGTGTTTAGGCGTAACGATGGAACGCCTTAACCACTCGGCTAACCCACCGCTCCTGACCAGCAGGGCCTTCTTTCATGAAGCACTAAGGTGATCGTAAGTCACTAAGGTAACCTTAGTGCACTGTTAAAGAATGGGAGTTAAGGTTAACCTTAGTAAAGGTTGCTTCGTGAAAGGAGCCCCTGGTCTCTAACAACATATATGTGTTTCGTAAAAGACGAATGAATGATTCGGGTCGTTAAAGTGTTCATTGCTTGTCACAGTACGTTGGTGACATGGAAAGGTGTTCATTCTATCAGTCACTGGTTTGTCTGACCCAGACTCGATGACTTACAAGACGTCGTCATATAAACTACCTATCGAAAATGGTATACACTGAATTTCACATTTGATGGTGACTAAAATGAACAAACAAGAAATGGGCATTCAATGTTGATTTGATATATTTTCAGTATTTCGGCGACAGTTTATAATTATTTGTTGTCAAATCCAGTTTTCAAAACAATAATATATGCTGTCCGACAGCTCGGGTGAATGTAGCTGAGTGCGGTGTTTAAAACAAACCGTTGTGTTCTGTATTGTATCCAGCAAGCCACATAATAAAGAACGCTCTGTTTTACATACGCGCTAGACCGCCTCCGTGGTGTAGTGGTTAGAGCGTCCGCCCGGAGAGCGGAAGGTCGCGGGTTCAATCCCCGACCGCGTCACACCAAAAGACCTTAAAATATGGTATTTGTTGGTCCCTGCCTGGCGCTCGGCATTAATGGGTACAACAAGGACTGGTCGGCTCGGAGTCAGTATAATGTGTCTGAGTGGGGTATTCCTGCTTCACTGCGGCATGGTATCTCAGTGGGCTAGCACTATAAAACCAGCTTCAGTCTGGGCTAGTACAAGCAGCCGCACATACACATACACACGCATGCACGTCGTCATATGAGCGAAATATTCTCAAGCACGACGTAAAACCCAATTTCACCTCACCTCATCTCACATACGCGCTGAGCTGGGAAATGATACACCGATTAATGCATGTACAAATGTATTATGTCTGCTTGCACGTGCAGACACATTTAGTCTGACCTGACAGTGTTCATTTCAGAACTAGGTTAAGATTACGATTCCCCGCGTTCTTCAAGACAATGCTTAATTAAGCAGCACAGGTGAGCTTGGTTCTTACATATCTCAAGCTAGAGTTACCTGTAGACGCCGCTCTCCAAGACAGATGCCGAGACTAATGACTTGTTTTTGAATCCCTCAGCGCTTTTTGTGTAACATTAAATAACTTCAACGGGTCATCTTACACGCATTTCGTGACTAAAGACAAGTGAGATTATTCATCTTCGTTACATGATGACATCCACGTCTGACACAAGCAACTGATTTACACAAGTAAAAGAAACAACATCTTAATGTTAATATATGAATTATTTCAATTTTTTTAATTTTATGTAAATTATTTTAGTTTTAAAATTGGAAATTTGTGTAATAATCCCATTAAGATTGTAAATAACGAAGTTTTTCTGATTTCGTTTGTGCACAAAGAAGATGTTAATCTCATTTCCAGACAATTTGCAGGCTTTCCTGTGGGCGTTGAAATTGAACTGTTCGGTGGATTTGTTTAAGCATCGTCTTTCCGGGACATCATTTGTAAACATCAGGAGACCATTACTAAGAATGGTGGATTCCTTCCAAGAAGGAATCTTTTTCAACGACTCCATTGTGCTGTTTTGTGAGCGGAGCTGTAGCATGTACACACTATTTGTTGTCTATATATAAGTCTACAACATGTATCCTATTCACGCCAACGCAGCGTTCTTTAAGCACCTGTTGTACCTTTCACGTGCAATATACATGCCTTGAAATAGACAGCAGACAGATATTGATGACTCTCTTAAATAGTATGCTGCTCAACACCATCGATCAAGTGTAACCCTCAGCATACCGATGCTTCATTCTATATATATATACCCCCACAGACCAAACTGACAAAACAGACAGTTCAGTCTAAGTATAGGAGCTGTAAACAAAATATGTATACTGAGGCCAGAAAAAATATTTATCAGCGTTTTTGATGAATTAACCTGTTAGAAAGTCAGAGGTTATACAATAGTGAAACCTCGAAAGTCCGGACGCATTTAATCCAAGAACCTCATCTATCTGTTATTAATACTTTCATCTATACAAAGAGTCATTACTCCGAAAGCATGATCCGATAATCCGGTAACCTGTTAATCCGGACGTGTTCAGTGGGAACGCCACCGTTCGGATTGGTAAGGTTTCACTATGCTGCATTCCAAACTGTTTCACCAGATACTTAATCCATTGAAAACGCAGTCGTGGGCTATCCACATTGAGCTGAATGTTCATTCATGAAAGGCTTTGGTCAGCTGTGTAATGCTCACATGGACGCAATGGTAAGTTGTGCAGTTAGTAACACTAGCCCTGACCAGATATTGATATTTGACTTGCTTGCATCTATTGGATACAGTCAAACCCCGCAAATCCGAACCGCGAAATCGCCCTTTCTTAGCCCATGTGGGTAAAACGGTATTGCGGTGGGTCATGATTACGTTCGGTCAGCTTTATGCTGGAGATCTAGAGCGGGTCTTTGGTGTCAACCACAGACATACAATGTAGAAACATATTCAGCGCCAAAGTGGGATTCGAACCCACGAACAGCAGATCCTGGTGCGTATCATGTCTGTCCCTTGGAATCTTATATAAATAGTTGACAAAACATTCAGACTTATTTCTAATATTATAATACATTAACTTGTAATTAATCAAGTGCTGGGGCCTAAATATGATTACTGTTTTGTCATAGTGGAAATGGGGCGGTGGGGTAGCCTAATGGTAAAAGCGTTGGCTCGTCACGCCGAAGACCCGGGTTCGAATCCCCACATGGGCACAATGTGTGAAGCCCATTTCTGGTGTCCCCCGCCGTGATGTTGCTGGAATATTGCTAAAAGCGGCGTAAAACCAAACTCAGTCAGTCAGTCAGTCATAGTGGAAATAGAGGGAGGTCGGGTTACATGGATTAGGCAGATGAACTATGCAATGAAAGGACGTTAACTGTAGTGGACTTCAGACACAAAAATAGCACCTAAGATGTTTACAAGTCCTTTCGTGCGACAATTGAGTTTTTCAAATTCAATCTGAAACCTCTTAAGCCGTGTCTCCAACAGGGAGCCACGTCGTCGTGATTCAAAGACATAATCCTATCGCATTCGTTTATATGTTAAATGGCAATGTCATAGCGAGACGGGTATCTATATTAGATTGGATCATTAAAACCCATATGGGCTCAGATGACGCCAGCATTTATGTTTTAATTCTGGTTGGGCTTTCAATATGTCCTCCTTGAAAAGATTATTTCTCGACCTAACAGCTCAGTGCGCTCGCTATTTCAACTACCGTCATCTGTACCCTGCACGTGCCTCTTCGCCGACCCTAATTAAGGGGGAAGGGGAGTGCGATGTGGTGATGGTGCTGTTCGTTGATGAGGGGTAGCGGGAACCTGCTTCCTAGCTAGTGCTGTTGTTTGGAAGGTGAGTCACAAGCACTCTCTGTTAACTTCCGATATATCTATCAACTGAGTTACATTATTTGGGAGATAATTTTGGGGCTTTACATCGTTTACAAATATGACGTCATAGTGATTGTGATCGGATCTATGTCAGACAAACCAGTGGTCGATTGTGTGAGCATCATTCCGCGAAGTAAAGTCATTTCGGCCTCAGCTAAATAGGGTTGTCATAAGTTTATCTCAGACACGTTAAAAATCCATTTTGTTCACTAAAATACTGGAAGAAAACTATTGCCTCTATTTCAAAGATACACATATAGCATGCAAAACTTTTCGATTTGTAACGTTGAAAAACTGATTATATCTGGTCATACATGTGTTAAATGACCATACTGTAGACATGTATTGCTGTGGTAGCGTAAACACATTGACTTACTTACGTTTACATTCAGAATGAAACTTAATGAGTCCTAGGCTTTTACGCCACTTTTAACACTAGAAAGGGGCTTCTACGGTAACAAGTGTTCAATAAAGAAAAATGCATCTTTCAATAATGTTTTCAACAACAGCCTTTCTTGCCCGAATAGCATCAAAACTACTCACTCACAAGAGCCTTTCCTACATAATTTTAAACACGTTTACACGTTACTCGAAGGCAAAAGAAACGTCTCTGGAGATTGTGTTTTAAAGTGGTCTAATGAAAACAGGTTCCTGGCTCGGAGACGTCACCGAATGGTTTGGTCACTGACTGGTCGCTGGTGGTTTCCTATGGTACCCCGAGCTCTTTCTTGCTCGGTCTTGCAGGTGTTGATGGACGATATGACGGTCCTGGCGACGTGTTGTTACACGGGGTCGACCCAAGTCAATATCACAACAGTCTCGTTTCCTGCTGACTTCCGTCCTATTGCGCAACTTAGAACAATAACCAGTCCATAATTTTGAGACCAATTCATTCAACTGAATACATAAATCCTAATCAGTATTATCTGATACATCTAAGCACTTGTATATTGCAAAAATACGCTCCTTCTAATCCTTGCAAACACGTCGTGCAGCGTGCTCTGTCGTACAGCGTGATCTGACAAACGGAAATCTGGAAATCGTGGAAATCTCGAAACGAGGCTCTGCCGCTAGAAACGTTTGGCGGTCTTTTACGGACTTGATATTATATCAATC